AGAAGTGGAAGAGTGTGATGTGTCGTATTTTTACCTAAACTTGCTTAAACCTAACCAATGAATAAAAGTTCAAACATGATAACAATAATTAATTTTAAAAAATTAAATCAATCACACAGACAAAGTAAAAGCTAAATTCAAAATTCAGAAAGTCCCAGTGGGATATAAACTATTGTCTCCTGGATGAAAATCCTCTAAATTATGACTTTACCACCTCTCCAAACTCTAAATGTGGACCTTCTAAGTCCCCAGAATTGGACCTTTATTTCTCAGTTGTCAGGTGGGCATCAACGCTGTAAGACTATGTTTTTGTTATTTTTCTATCAAATCTGTTTTTCTATTAAATGTTTAAGTGTACGGCAGGAGCACCTTGTGAAAAGCACAGAAGATGGACACCATCAGGAGCATTTTTCATGATGGAGTTGAAGGACTGCCTGAAGTCTGGGACCTGCTTCCACAGCGGCTGCAGACTCAACAGGTCGTCGTACAAGTCAATCACTGTGACCTCAGTGCCTGGATGCACCTGAGAAGTGCAAAGAAATTGAAGTGGAAGTAAAACTTTTGGCACAATGAGGGGAAACATCAGCTGTCATAAATCTTCAGCCAGGTGCTCGAATGCAGAACTCTTAAGTCAAAACTGATCCTGAGGAAATGAAAGACACAGAGGAACAGAAATCGCTAACTGGAAACCATTTGCTGATTTTCACTTCACTGTTTTTTTTAATCTGATATGTTATCAAGTCCAATATCATTTTAAGTATTTTATTCCTACTTGAAATACAAAATTCTGCCTTGAACCTACAGTAGGATAGAAGCTCTTGATTTGCGTGTTGAACATTTGGTGGATTCAGGTACCGTTGAGGAAATACCAACCAGTTCAATTTACACACAAACAGATTGTTGTTTAAAGACCCACTGAGATTTATAATGTCCTTTACACGGCCAACCTGGACAACAACAGCACTAAAACACATGACACATAAATTTTTACAGAGCATGAATTTTTATGTTGATCGAGATTATTAACCCTGTCATGCATGAATTATGAAAACCTCGATCCAGATTTTTAAGCATTTTTATTCATCTTTAGGAATTAAACATGAATAAAAGCACTTAAGAAAAACTCTGATTGAGGTTGTCATAATTCATGCATGACAGGCTTAAATAAGAATAATTACAATGAAACACGTCATACATCTATAGTAACATTAAAGGACCAGTGGGTGGTGTGGAGTGACACATCAGTGTCCAGTGTAGAGGTTTATGTGCAAGTATGCCATCGACACTGACACAAATACAAGAAAACAGCCTTTGAATAGCTGTCACTGTAGTGACCACTATACATGAACGGGTTAACATATTATTAACATATAAGGTGAACAATATTGGCCCCAGAATTGATCCCTGGGAAACACCTTCAACCACATCAAGGAAGCAAGAGGAGATGCGTTCAGCATTCACACACTTAGTTCTGTTGGAAAGATCATCTTTGAACCACTCACATGATCTACAGTGTCGAAAGCCTTGGAAAAGGCCATGAAAAAGGCTGCACAGTGTTTCTGTGCAAAGCCTCAATAAAATCATTTAGTACTTTTAAGGCTGCTTGAACAGACTGAACACGTGATCTAATATCATGACTGATGAGATATTCCTTCCTATTGCTCACTTACAAGAGACACTTTGGGGGCTTTTCATTCGTCTTTGGAAAGGATCAAACAACAGTCGAGCGCACAACTGTAGTTTATATGGCTTTGGATGAATAATAACAAGCATAGAATCATAAGCACATTATCTGCCTGCTGCGGTGACAGAATACAGTCAGAACATCCCGTGCAAAAGATACTCGGAGCAAAGCCAGTTTAAAAAGTAACCATTTCAAAGTCTTTTAACTTGAAATGTAAGTCAAAGAAGTAAATCTTTAAGCGTGATCATTAAGTTCTAATAACTAGTACTTAATGATCAGACTTACCCCCTTTTAGCATTGTCCTCTATCAATAAACAGCTTGGCGGCTGGATCCCAGCATCCATAAGAGTGTGAGTGTTAGTTCGGTTAAAAGCACCTGAAAATGTTTTTAATGCTCAAATAGAGCAGGAAAGTTCTGTGTGAGTACCAGTTTATTTATTATTAAAAAAATAAAATAAAATCACTGTTGTGAACTGTAATGTTTGATAAAGTTGGCTTTAGTCGAAAAATATGCAGATTGTTGCCCCGAAGTTACTGAAAGTCAACCGAGAAAATGATACAAACTTGTTTTGACTGCGTGTGCAAATGAGGACAAGCCTCGAACCTGAAAACACATTTTCATTATTTTATAATAAATATGTAAACATGCTTGTACGCAGTATTAAGAACCGCTTTAGAGACAACGCAGGAAAACTGGTTTTAAATTTGAACAGCTACTCTGAACATGAACTTGGCCTGAAGACGTTAATCACTGAGCCCGAGTCCTGCGGTCCGTTAAACACTTCCACCAGAAACACATCCCCGAAAAACCAAAGTCTAAACGCAACCGTGGACACAACAAGACCGCATTAAGACTCTAATATCGAACATTAACAGGCCCGTGAGTCTTTGTGCACATATCATTAACAAGTTTGCACAAAACACATCAAAGTAAAGACAAGCACGAATAATGCACCACTTTTAATTCCTGTGGTAAATAAAGCGGCTCTAACGCATTTGGAGCTGCTTTCGAGCCTTGTTGTTCTGCAGCAGAGATATCGCACACTGTGCGGGGTCCTACCTTCTTTATGAACCTTGACAGGTTCTGGAACTGCTGTGGTCCATCAAAGATGCCATGCACGATGATGACTGGTTTATAGCTGTCCACGCAAACACCTGCGACCACCACCAGCAGCAGCAGCATCGGGCCATGCGACCCTGCGGCTACCCGTGGACACTTCATCTCCGCCCGGATACAGGTGGGAAGCAGTGCGGGGGGCTGTAGATGATCCCGAGGACTTTGACCTGAGGTGGTGTCCTTAACACGGCCGATGAGGGACTACGGCTCTCTTCATACTGACAACCAACCATACATGAGCGCGAGCTGCTTCCTCTTTATACACATGTATTTTTTCCACAGGCCACATCCGCTTTTACAGAATCACACCCCTTCAACATTCAACGGTCTGAACCCCATCGATAAAGCAAAAGTCTTTTCGACCTTTTACTCACTTATAATTCATTTGAGACAATTAAAAAATGTTGCATTTTAATAAATGAAAGTTTTTTTATTTATATTTTCATCTGTTAGATGAACTCACAAATACACACAAAGCATACGTTAACATCATGTTGCTGCTCATCTCTTACTTCTGTTCTTGTGTTTGACTTCATGTTACAAGTGACGTGAACGTTTGTTTGTTTAAATTAAAGTTGTCTGTCTTAGCATTAAGTCTGTTGTTGTTGGTGATATTGTGTGTGTTAGACTGTTATTATAATAGCAGGAAGTTGGGGTGGATCAGTGGCTCAGCTAATATAACTTTATATTGACTCATCATGTACCACTTGTAAAAGCCGCGTGTTTTTGTCATGTTTAATTGTGATCAGAAACAATAAGCTTTAAAATTGTTGTCCAACTAAACGCCAGAACCTAAAGATTTTTATTTACAATAAAAGAATTGGGAAATTGAGTTCTGGTTGTGAAATATCTCTAAAAATCATAATATGGATTGAAGAAGCTGGCCCTTCTCACCCTGGACACAGTCTGTTTGACCTGCTCCCCTCAGGCAGGAGGCTCCGGTCCATTCGCACCAGAACCTCTCGCCATAAGAACAGTTTCTTCCCCTCTGCTGTCGGACACATGAACAATAACCGTATGACTGCTCCCACCACTAACACATGACCCTACGCTGTGTTCACTGCATCATTCCATGTTTGGCACTGATCACCACCTGCACTCATGTATATATCATGTATATATCTATCCACTTAGCACTTTTAATTCTTATTCTTATTTTTATATTTTTATGACAGTATGTTTGCACTGAAGCACCGCAGCAATTTCCTAATGTTGTAAACCTGCTCAACATCTGGCAATAAACCCTTTCTGATTCTGAAACATTTGTCAAATCTTAGTAAGACGCAGGACAGTACTGTATGTGAGGCTATGCCCGGTGTATTCAACGCCATTTTCTTCGCAGATTCTACTTCTGATAACATGTTATACTTTCCCCTGTTTACTTTTTTCATAGTGTTTTGTCAGAGAATATATACCTTATTTTATGATCTCTCATGAAAGTGGAAAGACAGGCTGACATATGAGATCAGGCAGGACTCTGCAGATGATATTGTGACCTGTAGTGAGAGTATGGAGCAGGTGGAAGAATAAGAAGAGAATTATTAAATATAAAACGTATTGTCCTGCTCTTATTTTCTGTTTGTTTGCGGAACTGGATGTTTTGGTTTGTTTTATTGCTAGCTGGTGTTGCAGTTCTTTACATGGCCACACGGGGGCGGTGAGTGCCGGCGCCTCTGAAGCAGCCCGCTCTTCTTCCCTAGTTTAGCCTGACGTATTTCCGTTTGGAAGTTCAGCGTGCGTTAAGCTAAAACAGCAAAACAGTTTACAGTGTATGAGTGTGTGTGATGTACTTTTAGGACAAATGCACAGTTTTTCGTGTCTACGGCAGGATGCTCGTGTCCGCTAAGTGTCCGAACCGGAGACTTGTGCGCTGCAACTCAAGCTAACGCCTCATCTGTAGCTGGAGCTAGCAGTCGGCTAACTCAACCTGCTGTTTCTGTCACAACAAGAGCGTTTGAGAAGCGGTGAGTGGACTTCAGAGACGGTTGTGTTGTGTCTCCTCTAACGCTCACACTTTGTATAATGCAGGTGTAATAGTGGATGGATAACTACGCTGTAATATGAAAACTGACAGTATTGGTGCAGCGGCTTGAACACAACACTGCGGTTTGAAACGGCGCTGAATCCAGATCTGCAGTTAAAGGCGAAGTTATTGGAAACTTGAGCTTGTTTAACGAAACCTAAATGTGAGGAAACATTTTTATTTAGTAGTTTTGCAACAAAACAAAAAACCACTCACTGCTCTGACTCTTTAGCTTTCACAGAGGTTATCAAATCCAGATTGTCAAAGGTTAATGCTGAAGGTTTGTAACTGGACCTGGTCTGAATGTGGGAAAGGCAGCAGGGAAATCATCTCTTTTTGCATATTTACTGTC